TTCCAAGGTAAATTACAATGGTAGGTCGATCGAACGCTCTGCGGGGCACCTATGGCCTTTGCCACCTATATCAAACTTCCAAGGTAAATTACAAAGGTAGGTCGATCAAACGCTCTGCGGGGCACCTATGGCCTTTGCCACCTATATCAAATTTCCAAGGTATATTACAATGGTAGGTCGATCGAATGCTCTGCGGGGCACCTATGGCCTTTGCCACCTATATCAAATTTCCAAGGTAAATTACAATGGTAGGTCGATCGAACGCTCTGCGGGGCACCTATGGCCTTTGCCACCTATATCAAATATCCAAGGTAAATTACAATGGTAGGTCGATTGAACGCTCTGCGGGGCACCTATGGCCTTTGCCACCTATATCAAATTTCCAAGTTAAATTACAATGGTGGGTCGATCGAACGCTCTGCGGGGCACTTATGGCCTTTGCCACCTATATCCAATTCTATTTCGTTACCAGCCTACGTCGTTACGTAATTGTACGCGAGAGAGTGCCGCGCATGCGCCAACCAGGTGTGCCTGCCTTGCCGCCGCCAGACAACGTGTTCGTTCCACTCGTGGTTTTTTCTCGTCGGATTTCTGCAGCTTGAACAAATAATTTCTCTTTCTTTTACCGAAACCATGTTTCATGATGACCTCGATATTGAGATCTCAGAAGAGCCATCTACAGTCCTCAAGCCTGATTTGACCTTTGATCCGAATCTTCTCATGACTTTGATGTCTCAGATGAAGCAAAGGTTAAATCAGAACTCAAAAATTCTGTTATCTTTGCTCGAGAAAGACACAAACTTTTCCGTTTCAAATGAAGCATTTGACTCCGCATGTAAAAGGGCAAGATTGGGTCTTAATCCCTTATTTGTAGCTTCCCCAAAAGCACATCCTGCCACATCACTGAATGCAATTTCAGCAGCTACAGAGATAGCAACAGCCACTGCTGCAGAGACAGCAACAACTTTCCTTGCTGCAGAGACAGCAACTAATGGGATGGGATCTCCCAACATTGACCTATCAAATGCTCGTCCCTCAGAGGAGGATGCCTTAACTATTTGGAGGGGCAGAATTTGATCCTTCTGATCCATCAGGGATGGAAAATGAGGCCCTACTGATCTCAATTGATGAGGCCTTACTGCCGTCCACAGAGAAAGGCCCACCTCTTTCTGCCCAGCTGGCAAAAATTATCGATGGAAAATTCGGCACAGAATTTGACCTGTCCAAACGGAAAGAAATTTTGGACAAATATCCCTCTCCTGAAAATTGCCAAACACTTTTTTCACCGAAGATAAATCCGGAGATCTGGGGTAAATAAAACCCTAACTCTAAACGGAATGACATAAAATTTTCTGTTTTGCAAGATGGACTAATAAAGGCCACATCAGCAGTCTCTGTTGCACTAAGTGACCTCCTTTTTGCCAGAGAGCAAAAAACCACACCTGATTACAAGTCCTAATTGGTAAACTAATTGATTCAATTGTTTTAATTGGTCACGTAAACAGGGAACTCGCTTTTAAACGCAGGGACTCCCTCAGACCCCATCTTAGTGCAGAATTTAAGCAAGTTTGTTCCAGGAATATTAAGCCTGGCAATTTTATTTTTGGGAATGATCTGCCTGAAATATTAAAGCAAATGAGGGCTACTAACAGAATTGTTAGCAGCGCTACCTCATTGTTATATTCAGGTTTTTCTGCCCCTCTATGGCCCAAGAACAGCCTCATCCCAGTACCATCATGGTACAACACCTACTACTCCACGTAACCCTTTTTTAGGGTACCGGGGGAGGCTGCCATACAACCCCCGCCAAAACAATCGGCAGCAACAGTTCACAAAAAAGAAGTTTATGAAGAACTAATTAAAGCTAAAACACAGGTAAATAATTTTCACAAGTTTGTCAGTACTTCCCTAATCCCCTATTTGAAATCTGAAGTTCAGTCCTTCAGTGCTGGAAAACTAGCCAATTTTATTTGAGATTGGAATGAAATTACATCTGATCCACAAATTCTTTGCACTATTTTTGGTGATAAGATTTTATTGGCTACCCACCACAGCGGGTCTCGTACCCGCCAAACTTTATTTGCAAAGATCATGTCCAAAAGGCTGAAGAAGAGATCATGTCACTTTTGGATAAAGGTGTCATTGTTAAATGTGAACATGAGCCTGAGGAATTCATTTCTCCTATATTTACTGTGCCAAAAAACGAGGATAATATCAGATTGATTTTAAATCTCAAAAAGTTTAATGAGTATGTGGAGTATGCACATTTCAAAATGGAAACTATTCACTCCATTCTTGCACTTGTTACACCCAACTGCTGGATGGCATCCCTTGACTTAAAGGATGCCTTTTATAGTGTAAGGGTTGACATTGACCACCAGAAATATCTTAAATTTTAGTAAAATGGACAGTTGTATAATTTCACCTGTCCACTAAAACCCACACTCTCTAAGCTTCGTCTCATGAATCATATTGTCACTGCATATATCGATGACTTGTATTTACAAAATGATACTTTTGAAGGCTGTGTGGAGACGGTTGTCGATACTACAATTTTGTTTGACAAACTTGGTTTTGTTATATACCCAGAAGAATCCCAGTTTGTACCATCCCAACAAATTGTCTTGGGTTCATAATTGACTCTGTTGAAATGAAAGTCTATCTCAAAGACAAAAGACGTCAGAAACTGTCCAATCATATAAATCATTTACTGCAGGATAGCAAAGATGTTACTATCCAATATGTAGCATAAAATCATTGGTCACATTGTCTCAAGCTTACCAGCAGTCCAGTATGGGCCTCTTTATTATAGGTGGCTTGAAAAAGATAAGTCAAGATCTTTAAAAGAAAACAAAGGGAATTTTAAAGCTACAATGTCACTTTCCCACAAGGCTAAATCTGATCTCAAA